TCGTGTTCCAGAGCGTGATCAAGTCCATTGTGGACAGCAGTGCATCCGCATAGCCAAAGGGCATCATGGGTGGGATCCATCCTATACGACATTGTTAAAATTGGTGCCTTATACCAGAGTAACCGCCTCTCTCATTCCCCGACCTAACCATAACCGACTCGATGCTCTTCAACCATCCACCCAGACATGTGGGTCTATTTCTTCTTTTTCATTCTACCTGGCATAATATCTTTTCATCACCTCGCTCAGTCTGGGAAATAATTTCAACTCAACATCGATGGTTCATTGAGTGAAGTAGGCTCAGCCACTAACGACCAGCAAAGTGGAGATACTATCGGGCTTGATTACAAGTCCTTACGTTAAGATCACGAATGCAGTGCACTCTAATGAATAGAGGGAAATCTCTGTTTTTATGCTGGCAGAAACGGACGGCCCAGATCCGTGGGTTGAAAAACACAATCGTATCATCCCCTTGGCCATTCTCCTGATTATCTTGGCTTTCAACCAAAACCTCGCCGTATATCTGGTTAAATTCATCAAATATACCGCATAATCCCGCGGTAAAGGTTTGAAACCTTTCGTCTCTTGCGATAAGTTGGCCTTGTCCAGCTCTGGCCCATCTCAAGTCGCCTCACATAATCGATTTTACAACATTAACATTCGCTATAACCCATTTTACTATTACAAAGGTCTGGTGCAGCAGACATTGTCGATAACATGGCAGCTGTAGCAACCCTCATTGCGAGATGTGGCTCAGTGATTCGTCTGGCCCGCCTAATAAGCGAGAGATACAATCTAGCTAATACCACATTGCTCTCCATTACGAACGAATGCTCTGTCGTTGAGTTGGCTCTCGGCCGCGTGGAGGCGATGGCTACTAGTCCTCACCTTACACGGCTTGAGACCAATGCAGACCTTCATGACGGATTCAACACGGCCTTAGATGGCTGCTCCAAAACTCTTCAAGCTGTTTTCGAGGAAATGGAGAGAATAGGAGGGTCAGAAATGAGTGGGAGGCGAGAGTCTAGCTGGAAGGCGGCGTTGTCGACGATGGCGAAATTGAAATTTATCATCAGTGAACGAAGACTCAAAGAACTACTGGACCAGTTGAGAGGCCAACACCATGCTCTCCAGCTCCTATTACAAGCATATGCCACGTATGTCTCTTGCGCTTCTACGGATGCACGTACTGAGTTTATGGCACAGGGAATCAATGAAAGAACTAGCCGCGATCATGATGTCCGTTCGACCTACTTTAAGGAAGATCAGGGAGGATGCCAGTAGTATCCGAGTCTCTCGCATCTCATCTCAAGACCCCACCGATCGTATTGCGACCAGCACAAACCGCGACTACGTACAAAGCATCATTTCTCATGGAGGATCAGTCTCGGAGATATCCTCCACACAGCTCACTATCGACGAGTCGCTTATTAATACCAGTGTCTATCGGCGGCAATTAGCTGCGGTTTCGTCTCGCGGCCCTCATAGGCCCTCCCAAGAACCGTTGATGAAGCCCCTCCCAGATATTCCGGAGCAATCTTCATTGAACCTAGAGAGCAGTGAGGTCAATGAGGGGATGTCTAGAGCCCAGTCTCCTCACGTGCGCGGAATAGTTATTCCCTCGGGTGATCCAGATGCAAACCCTTCCCCTGCACCCATTGAGATCCCAGCCGACTCTTGTGTAATGCACGAAGCAAGCTCCATCTCCGAGAGAAGAACGCTCATATCCTCAGAGATCCGTACTGTGACGCAGCGTCTCAAGGCCCTCGGGAGTGAACATGACTTCTTATTGGCCCGAAATACTCTAAAGCAAAGTCGACTAGACACAGAGGACTTTATTCACATGCTTGAGGAGCTCCATGGTTTTGGTTCTCAAGATGACTACTCAAGAGGTCTCAGGGCTCTTG